GCCGCAACAACAGCAGCAGCAGCGACAGCAACAGCAACAGCGCCGACGATGACCGTGCGCAAGTGTCGCAGGGCACAAGTTCACGAACTTGTGCCCTACGTTTGGCTGCGGCTTTGCTGGGAACAGTGGTTGGGCATGTGGTATAAGAGAGAAAGCCGCACATGCAACGGAGCTCGGGAGCTGGCGAATCGGCTTGTAGACACCGACGGCACCACCTGCACACAAAAAACCACTGACGGAAGTCTACAACCCGATACGCAATTCGAGTGAAAAAAGAGACAAGGGCGGACAGCTGTCCGCACGCTGCTGGCGAAATGTCAATTTCTGCGCTACAACCAAATCTCTTGCTTTACTTGTAGCACCTGAAAATAGCTGAGACCATCTTCTCGCCCTCCCCGACCCACTTCTGCTGCACCGCCCCCATGCGCACATTGATGAACGTCGCACCCGACTCCTTGGCGATGGCCTGCTTTCAAGCAGCGCAGCCAGGGCGTGCACAGTAAACGTGTGACACAGCCATAGCCAGGTGGTCGTCCTTCAACAAACGGAAGGAAACTTCATTTATTTGCTACCAATACAGACGTAAGAAGCAAATAGCTGCATGCATCTTCCGTGGTGTTTTGATAGGAGCAGGCCGAAACCGGTAGCGGCTGTTGTGTGGGACCTGCAACTGCGAAGGTTGAAGGTGACCACGCGCGTTACGTCGCTGTCGTCAGGCATCATGCATGCTGAAGAAAGCAACCCCACCAATATCAACAAGACGTGTCGCTACGGACTACGAGACACGGGATTCGGTTGCGATTCGCCAAAAACTGCAACACCAACGGAAACCTGCTTCGCTATAGGAACAAACTTCGTAGCACTACTGTACGCACCCGGGCAAGCATCGTTTTCCCGGTTCCCGGCACTCCGCTCAAGAGAATGCCTCGCGGCGCGCCTACCCCCTGCAGCTGTGCTTCTCTCGAGCACGCCAGGGTCACCTGTGGAAAACGAGGAGGGCACGACGTGGGTGTGATGAGCAGGGTAGGGCACATACGCGCGTCAGGGATGGGTGGGACGGACTGCGACCATTCCCCCAGCCGGGTGGGGAGGTGGGCTACAACCGTGTGGTGCGTGCCCACACACGCACCATGCAGGTGCAGAGATCCTGGTGTTACGCTCACATCGTCCCCGAAAAAGTATCGCCACGATAAAGAAGTTGAGAAACACGCAAAGCGCCGGATCAAATCGACTTTCCCCCTCTTCTCTGGTTGCTTCTGCTAGGCCAGGCATGTCCTCCCTGTGCACACCGCTCCAGCCTCCGGGGAAAAAAAAACTGCAACTGCCCCCTTGTCTTCAATCTTGTCGGATAAAGGGTCAGGCTTGATCTCTCCTTGTTTGTAGTTCAAACCACCATCGTGCGCCTACAGTAACCCAAATCGTGCAAGACGAAGACCGGACCAGACTCACAATATCCATGATCTCGTCTCTCAGGTCTCCAAGCCCCCCGATCATATCAAATGTCGTTTCGAGGTCACTCGACGCGACGATGTCCTGCCGGTCCCGAAAACCAGGAGAAACAGGCAAAAAGACAGCGGCGGAGGGTGAGGAAAGACGTGCGACAACAACAGTACATTGTAGCGGACGGTGTTATAACCTGCCCTGGGCTAAGCGGCCAAATCTTTGCCAGCAGTTGGTAGGCATGGCGATTGTTATAGCGTGTCCCTTAGGTTTCGGTCCAATCGTGATGAGTTGGTCCATCGAGTAAGAGGTGGTCTCTCGGGTGTATCGTGCGAGCCTAGTTTTAGGACCGACACATGACTACCCAGCTTGTATACAATCACATGCCATGTACCTTCCGCTGAAACTACACCAATCGTCTTCGCCGCTACGTATCATATTGTAGTAGTCCCTCACAAAGGGGTACAAGACGGATATATCGTCCATAGTGGCGTCTGCTGGGACCCTGTCGGGCGGACGAAAAGTGTTGCGAGAACTATCATCACCTAGGCGCGGAGGTGAAATAGAAAACAAACGTAAGAAACCCTGGGGCGAGGACAAGTTTTTCGTGTCTTTCTCCGCTGTTTCAGTCCAGCATTCAGTACGACGCCTCTTCTGTCCCCGTCTTCCTTCATCACCGATCTGCTCGGACATCACGTCACGCGCTGCGGTCGTGTCCATCCCCGGCATGTTTGTGCTTTATGCCGCCACGAAGCGGACACACAAATCGTTTCAGAATCGTTCACGCACAAAGGGCCTCCTATCGTTCCGTCGGAAAAGACGACTGTCCTTTTTTTTTTTTTTTCTTAATACGACACAACGAATCCATCTCTATCATAGAAAAGAGTCTGAGACAGATTAGCAATGAATTCATAGCGTCAAAAAGTACCTGTATGTCTACGATTTCCCAGACAGCATATAGGGACATCTCCCCTGCGGGTAACAGGCTCAACAAGACAGTTAGTCCTTCTTTGTAACCCGCTCTTGTAGTACGTAAGCTGCTTTTGTGCGTTCATCTCTTTCGCCGGCACCAACACTTATCTACAAGGCGTTGCTGTATACGAAAATAAAAAACACGATATGTACCAAACGCGGGCAATTTACTACTGCTGTACAAGCCATACAAGTAGCAGCAATACCCGCGAGATATGGGGTCCAAACCACGACCTTTTTGTGACAAAAACAAGCTATTACGAAGTATGTACGGTATCATAAGCGGCCACACGAAGTTGCTGCACGGACAGACATGGGCACCCGGTCCACGTAATGCTCCGCTGCATGTTCAAGCATCGCGATCAGAGTCTTGATATGGAGCGTAGAGGGTACAGGAACGGCCAATGTACCATAATCGGCGAAGCAACAAGCGACCCTCAACCAATCGCCCTACAAGGGGTGCCAGTGATGCCTGTGCGAACGAACGGTGGACGCTCGCTGCGAGGAAGCACCTACGTACAAGCGGATGTTCTTCATGATGGGAACTTCCTCTAATCGGTGCGAGTAGTCTAATACCACAACGGAGAGGGAGGTCGGTGTGGGTGTCATGCTGGGAGAAGCCAGCGAGGATTTTTAGCCTCGTGGGAGGGTGCCAGTGCGTTAATACTGAAAGGATAATGCCTGGAGTACCTGAGCGACGGCCATCTCGTGCGAGTTGAAATGAAGCCTGTCCATCTCGATGTCAACCCGCGAGGGCAGCTTAGCCTTGAGAAAAATCCTCGTTGCTGCCTGATCCTCCCGCTCCTTGAGCTTCCCCAGGAACTGCGTAAACCTGACGCTGGTATACACACAGCCGGCAAAGAGCGCCACGCGGAGGGTGGCCTCTAACAGCACCGGCCCTAAGCTCTCGCTGCTGTGGTCGCTCTCGCGTCCGTGTGCGCTGCGGGTAGTAGTGCTGTGGCCGCCGCCACCTCGGGGGATGTACCCGTCTGCCGTGGCAGCCCGCCCATCGGCAGCCACTGGCCGTCTCTGCAAGACGACGGGACCTAAGACGTCCAGGAGAAGGTCCATGTGATTGAAACAGTCCACCGAAGGCTCTCGCACCGGTGCGTAGCCTGAGCTGTCACAGCAAGAGCGTGCGTGGCTGTCGCTGGTCGGTGCTGTCACATTTGCGAGAGGCGGCGTCGTGGAATCGATGTTGAACAGGAAGCGCGGGTGGGAAATGTAGCACACAGATGGCATGCAAGGAGGGGGGGGGGGGGGGGGGGGCGCCCTTTTCACCCTGGGGGGGCCCAACATGGGAAAACCCCGGACCCGGGCAACCGCCCC